GGAGGTGAGAGGATTGCCTGAGCCCAGTGATTTGAGACCAGCCTGGGCAACTTGGCGAGACCTTATCTCTACAATAAATTTAAAAATTAGTCAGGAGTGGTGGCGCTCCTGTAGTTCCAGCTACTCGAGAGGCTGAGGTGGAAGGATTGAGGTTGAGGCTGCAGTCCCCCTGAGTCCAGCCATTGCACTGGACTCCAGTCTGGGTGACTGAGTGAGACTCCAATTCAAAAAAAAAAAAAGATTTCAAATGTCGGTGTATCATACATCCTTTTCATTTTTAGATCCATGTGGCAGGGATTTGTGTGGGCACAAAGTGGAGGACTCCATCTTTCTGATGCAGCGGCTCCCCCTACAAGTCAATCTGTGACTCAGTCCAAAATGGACTCTTCTGTCTTGGATCAGGAAAGTCACATTCAAGGAGTGTTGATTCTACTTCTCCCAGAAGGCTGACCGCACTGGGCTTTTGTTCCCCTCTCCCTGTTGGCGATTGCAGGTCGAAATACACAAGTACTGGGCATGGTGGCTCACGCCTGTAATCCCAGCACTTTGGGAGGTGTAGGTAAGGGGTTTTAGACTGGCCTGGGTAACTTGGCAAGACTTTGTCTCTATGATAAATCAAAAAAAGTAGCCAGGCTTAGTGGCACATGCCTAAGCTTCCAGTTACTTGGAAGGCTGAGGCAGAAGGATTGCCTGAGACCAGCAGGTTGAGGCTGTGGTGGTCACGAGTGTGTCACTGCACTCCAGCCTGAGACTCTCACTCAAAAAAAGAGGAAAAGGCCAGGCATGGTGGCTCATGCCTGTAATCCCAGCACTTATGAAGGCGAAGGCGAGAGGATTGCCTTAGCTCAGGGGTTCGAGACTAGCCTGAGCAATACAGCGAGGCCTTGTCTCTACAATAAATCAAAAAACTAGCCAGGAATGGTGGTGCATGCCTGTGGTTTCAGCTACTTGGAAGGCTGAGGCGGGAGGATCACCTGATTACAGATTGAGGCTGTAGTAGCTGGGAGTGTGCCACTGCACTCCAGCTGGGCAACAGAGTGAGACTCCAACTAAAAAAAAAGAGGAAGAGAAAAAAAGAAATAAGCGTGAGATTTAGTGGTGTAAGGAAGGTGATTTTATTCCAGAAGCTGACAGATGGGGAGATGGCCAGGCTCATGCCTCAAATAAGCCACCTCAAAATTTTAGGCTAAGGATAGGGGCATTGAAGTGGAAGTAATGGAATGGGGAGTATCTGGGCGTGGTATCGGCTGCTGATCTTGTTTCAATGGCTAGCTGATGCAGTCCCAGCTGGAGAGCTAGCTGATGCAGTCCCAAGTGCCAGCTATGGCGAATTCTGCTGTGGCATCTCCAGATGCTGCTTTACAAGGTCAGCCTCTGGAATCTCACAAGTGAGAACACAATTAGATTAGAAAGGAAAAGTACACCTTTAATGTCTAGGCTAAGAGAGAAAATGACTTACAATCATCTCTCAAAAGTTGAAATGGAAATTCTCGGTTACCTGCCCATTGCTGTGGATCCTTTTTCACGTTTCTAGGGCTGTTGTAGTCTGATAAGTTGACTCTGGTCATACCACCGAGGCCATTAAGAGCATAGAGAAGAGCCTGGCAATTTTGCCTTCTCCAGACAGGCTGGCTCTTGTTCATTCACAGCCCCCTTGGGTCCTGGTGTGTTTCATGACATTGCTGAGTTATTACTCAGTTCTTGGAAGTCTCAATCCACTTTCCAGCAACTCATGGTTTAATTTAGCTTGGTGGTTCCCTCCATCCTTGTGGTGGACTCAATGATAGCCCCTCAAAACTGTCCACATCCTAGTCCCTGGGAACCTGTGAATGTTACCTTAGAGGGCAAAGGAGACTTACAGATGTGATTAAGTTAAGGATCTGGAGATGAGGAGATTGTCCTGGCTTCTCTGGGTAGACCCTAAGTATAATCACAAGGACCTTTATGAGAGGGAGGCCTAGAGATCAAAGGAGGAAGCAAGAGATTAGAGTGATCCAAGTAAGAGGCCATGAGCCAAGGAGTGCAGGAGGCCAAAAGGAACCGAAAACACAAAGGAAGAGATGGTCCCTTTGGAACCTCTAGAAGGAACCAGACCTGCCAACACCTTGACTTTAGTCCAGTGTAACTGGTTCTGTATTTCTTTTCTTTTCTTTTTTTTTGCGGACAAAACCTTTTATTTTAAACCACAAGTAGTCAGCAGATGGCCACAACTATCCATGTTCCATTAAAATCACATAAAACCTAGGTACAAAAGCACTACTGATTATTGCTCTAGAAAAACTGCATGAAAAAATTCAAATATGCACAGTAAAAACACCACGGTATGCACAGGACTAAAATTTTAAACCAGGTGTATGGAATGCTGGATCAAGTTTACACACAGCTTCCAATATTAAATTGATATTTATTTTACTTGAGGATGATGGAAATTTCCAAAAAGCCTGACTATGAGAGGGTAAAATGTCCATCCTTATATATTTTTGTATGTCAACTAGCAGAGTCCTAAAAAAATTAGCATTTACAAAATACTTAGTAAAAATAGCTTTTAAAAGTTGTTCCAAGAGATACATAAAATCAACCCCAATTTTTCACGACAATTCATTCTTCCTCAATATCTACAGATTCAGTGTTCTGTGCCTTCCTTTCCAGCTTCCAGTTTTTCCTCCTTCTTCCCTTTAGCAGCTCGGTTAATCTTTGCTTCAGGTTCTTTCTTAGCAGATATTTTTCATGGTTTAGGTTCAAGTTTTGGTGGGGCAGGTTTTGCTGACAATCTGGCAGACCGTCTTGTGGGCTCCTGTTTAGTTACTTTGGATCCATCTTTGCCCTCTGGATTCTCTGGCGACGTTCTGACCTCCAGATCTATAAGAGAGTGAATTTACACTGTTTTAAGCACTGAGTTTTTTGCCATTTGTCACAGTGGCAGCAGGAAGTCAGTACAGTTCTCTTCTTGCATAACCTGTCCCTTAGGCATAAGGGCAGGGGTAGGACTCAACATGGATTTGGAATTCCTTCTTGACCGGTGAGGGGTAGAGCTGAAAGACCCACAAACCTGCCCTGCAGAGGTAACCTGGGGGGTGGATTTCATTAAAGGGTTACATGCAAGATGGCCTACTCCATGAAGTAGAAGATGCAGCCAGCAGGAGAGGTAGTGGAATGTCCATCCACTTCCGTGGCAGGCCCTACGGTGAGTTTGCACCAAGTAGGCGCATGGAAAGTTGATGGCAGGCTGAGCTGTAAATATTTTTAGATATTTGGTTCCTATTTTGCTTATACCTAAATTAATGATAGAGACAAGGATTTCCACCAGGGTTTGGGCTGGATAATTTTGGATGTGGGTCACTGGTACCCAGCAGGGAAGAAGGATCAAGACACTGGGGGAATACGTCTGCTGGTAGACACCCCCACATGACAGATGCCAAATCCAGGAGGGCACTGGAGGCTGGTGATGAGCTCTGAGACTGGGGAGTTTGTCCCAGGGAGGCTAGTGAGAGACAGCAAGGGCATCTCCGTAGAGTTGGGGCTGGAGTTGGCTGGATGTTCTGTAAGCAGGTTCTTTCACACGAGAATTTACTGTGTTGATGCTTCACTAATAAGGACACAGCTGAAAGTCAGAAAGGAAATAGACATTCTTCGAATTGCCCAAAAGGCATTTCAGGATTTGTGTACTTTAGGTAGAGAATAGTCTGGGTTCTCAGTTCAGCTCGTCCATCCTTCTTGTACATGTAAGTCTAGGAAGTGAGATCATCTGGTTTCTGACCAGACGGTTGGTCAGAAACAGCAAATAGGAACCAGGAGATGGGGCAGGCAAACAGACAACCCTATGAGGCAACAACTGGTGGCTTATGTTAGAAAAGCAAAAGATAAAAAAATCAACATACACACAGGGTCCCTCCAGCTGCTCCTCTACTCCGCCCTTCTCGGGAAACTTCCAGTTTCCCTACAATCAATCCACCAACTGCAGGGTTAACTGGCAGACAAGGGGCTTCCAGACCCTGCTACAGCACCTAGTCTGGTTTCTGTCTAGATTGGCCATGCCCTGGCTTACGGACAGTAATAATTTGAATATCACCCACGAGCATAGATGTACATTACTTTATTTATTTATTTAGTAGAAATGGGGGGGAGGGTCTTATAGTGTTGCACAGGCTGGTCTCGAACTCCTGGCCTCAAGCAATTTTCCCTCCTTAGTCTTCCGAAGTGCTGGGATTACAGGTGTGAGCAACTGGGCCTTTATTTATTTATTTATTTATTTTTAAGACTAGTTGGCCAGGGACCATGGCTCATGCCTGAAATGCCAGCACTTTGAGAGGCTAAGGTAGGAGGATCTCTTGAGCCCAAGAGTTCGAGACCAGCCTGAGCAACATAATGAGACCCCATCCCATCTCTACAATAAAAACAAACAAAAATTAGCCAGGTATGGTGTTGTGCACCTGTAGTCCCAGTTACTTGGGAGGCTGAGACAGGAGGATTTGCTTGAGCCCAAGAGGTCGAGGCTGCAGTGATACTATCACAACTCCAGCCTGGGTGACAGAGACCCTGTCTCTAACAAAACGAAACAAAACTAGTCAAGTGCAGTCATGAGAACGGGGAAAAGAGTAAAACAAGGAGTTCAATCTGTAGCTGACTGAACAATCGGTTGAGGTAACACACTACCTGTGGTTCAGTGGTTCATTTCTTCAGTAACCGAGTAAGCTAGCTAACTTTTTCTCCTTTAGTAGCTGATATAAGAAATCCAAAAACATTACCATTCATCATGTAGGGAGAACTGTCTTTTGTATTATATGCCCATCAATGTATTACAATGCAGGATAATAATTAATATTTTATATCAGTAGGACCCGGTTACTAGGAAAAGTATAATAACTTTACAACTTAGTCTAATAACATTCAGCCTGGTCTGTTTTAAAAGGAGGCAGAAGACTGGGTGCAGAGGTTTACACTTGTGATTGCAGCACGTTTGGAGGCTGGAGCAGCAGGATTGCTTGAGCCCAGGAATTCGAGACCAGCATGGGTGACACAGAGAGATTCCCCCTGCCACTGCCATGACTCTATGAAAATTGAAAAATTAGCCAGGAGTGGCGGCGTGCATCTGTAGTCCCAGCTACCTGGGAGGCTGAGGTGGGAGGATCCTTTGAGCCCAGGAGTTTGAGGCTATAGTGAGCCAAGATTGTACCGTTGTACTCCAGCCTGGGTGACAGAGTGAGACCCTGTGTCAAAAAAAATGAGACACAACACAAGCGTGGTACATTTTAGTCTTGGTGCTTACATAGAATCGAGCCTTTAACCATCTAGAAAATTCACTTGCCCAGAATGAGTCATTCTTCAGGATTCCAGGGAGCCGGCACTCCTGCGTGAAACAATCGTCTGTCTGAGTGACTTACAGGCAAAATGTGCATGATCTTGTGTGGCCAGATTCATTCTTCTAAATCAGTCCTCAGCCTGGCTCACCTGGGCTCAGGTGCCTCCCTGCTCATGTGGATTCATCATTCCTCCCAGGTCATCTGGGCTGGTCATGCCTCCCCAGTCACCTGGGCCTACTGTGCCTCCCCGGTCACCTGGGTCAACTATACCTTCCTGGATACCTGGGCTGCTGGTGCCTCCCTGCTCCTCTGGGTTCATCATTCCTTCCCGGTCACCTGAGCCAATTGTGCCTCCCCGGTCACCTGGGCCAGCCATGCCTCCCAGGTCACCTGGGTCGGTCGCGTCTCCCTGGCCACTTTGGCTGATGGTGCCTCCCTGCTCATCTGGTTCATCATTCCTCCCCGGTCACCTGGGTCAGCCATGCTTCCCTGGGGTCATCTGGGTCTACCGTGCCTCCCTGGTCACTTGGGCCAGTCATGCCTCCCCGGTCACCTGGGCCGACAGTGTTTCCCTGGTCACCTGGGCCGGCCATGCCTCACTTGTCATCTGAGCTGACCATGCCTTCCCACTCACCTGGGCTGGCCATTCCTTCCTGCTCACCTGGGCCAACCATGGCTTCTCTGCTCACCAGGGCTGACCATCCGTTCCTGCTCACCTGGGCTGACCATGTCCTCCCATTCACCTGGGCTGATTATGCCTCTCTGATCATCTGGGCGGATCGTGTTTACCTGCTAACCTGGGCTGACCATGTCTCCCCACTCACCTGGGCCGACCATGCCTGCCTACTCACCTGGGCTGATGGTACTTGTCTATTTACCTGGGCAAATAGTTCTCCCCTCGTTCACCTGGGCTGACCATGCCTCTGCCCTCTTCCTTTTTCTTGCCTTGGTGCGTCCTGCCACAGAGCAGTGGTGGAACCAAGGAAGAACAAAAGCTTCTTTCTCCCTTTGACCTTATGTTGTAATGATAATGACATACTTGTCAGCTCATCTAGATAGCCACTTCAACCATTGACCCTAGAAAAATAGGAGTTTAAAATAAAAAAAACAACCTTGATGGGCTGTGGATGTGGGTAGATGAAAGCAGAAGTTCAGAGTATAAAGTGACACACTAAAAATAAAGACAACAAAAGCAAACCCAAACACCATGCCTTGCCAATGCAAGAAGAAAACTCACGTTCAAAGTTGATGGAAAATTTTAAGGTCAGTGAAGACAATGAGTCAGAAATCAGGCAGCAAAATTGACCTTCCCTGGTGCTGTGCCCATCACATAACTGGGCGTATGACGCACAGGAGAGAGAGGGGACCCTCTCTAGTAACATCCCTCCTAGGCAGCTGGCCCTGGCCCTCAGACTCCGAGAGCCCGTCGGATCTGACCCCTGTATTACCTTAATTACTCTCTTTAGCACTGACTCTCAGCATCGGTCAGCTGCTCAGGTTACCGGCTAGCACAGGCCAGAGCCTTCGACGTGATGGGTGAATAAGCGGCAGAAGTGTTCCCCGGTGGGGCCAGCGTCACAGACGCACAGGCGTATGTGCAGACTGAGGAGACCTTGTGGGATTTAAGACAGGGGGGCTGTCCTGGGAATCCAGGGTCTTGCTCTGTCACCAGGCGATCTGTCACCAGGCGATCATGCTCTGTCACTCAAGCGATCATGGGAAATGGGCTGAAGCAAGGAATGGTGGCTACTCTCTACTTCCCTGTGTGCCCCCTCCTGTCTCTGAAGCCTGTTATGTCTCCTCTGACTCCCCAGGGCCCTTCCTCCCCCCCCCCATGGTCTTCCCTTCCACCATGGCCCAGACTCATTCTGAGCTCCTTCCGGCTCCAGCCTCCCCGGGCTTATCAGGGCTCCCCGCTTTCATCACATCTTGACTTTTTAGCCTCAGCCCGTCTGCAGCTCCCCGATTCCCAACTCAGGTTCCCAAGAAAAAAATCCCACAGTCAGTTTGTGTTTTCCTGTGTTCACCTTGATGTCAAGGGTTCCTGGCTTGTCTAAGGGTCTTACAAAGTGACCCTTTGCGCAGGGCTGGGGGTTCAGCAGGCAGGATGTGATTGACCTAGCGAGGCCTGGAGAGTGGGCTTCTCACTTCTGCAAACATGGGAGTCATTTTTCCTCCAGTCCCCTCACTAACCAGTGGGGTGACAATGGCCAGACACTTCCTTTCCCCATAAAATAAGGGGTCTGAATAGATAGCATGCCACTGCCTACACACCAGGCACTGCTAGGACTACCACACACAACTTACTGCTGAGTCTCCAGGAGGGAGGTACTATTATTAACTCCTTTTAGAGACAGAAAACTGAGGCACAGAGAAGTCGAATAATTTGCCCAGGGTCACACAACTAGCAGGAGCACCTGGAATCTGAACCCTGCCAGTTTGGCTTGTTCCTTTTTTTTTTAGACAGGGTCTTGCTCTGTCACCCAGGCTGGACTCAAGCGATCATCCCACCTTCATCTCCCAAAATGCTGGGATTACAGGCATGAACCACCGTGTCCAGGATTTTGCCTCTTTTTATTTTCTTATTTTTATTTTTTTGCGTCAGAGTCTTACTCTGTTGTCCAGGCTGGAGCACATTCACGGCCACCACAGTCTCAACCTGCGGGGCTCAGGCGATCCTTCAGCCTCAGCCTTCCAAGTAGCTGGAACCAGAGGTGCGTGGCATCACTCCTGGCTAATTTTTTTGATTTATTGTAGAGATGAAGTCTCCCATAGTTGCCTGGGCTGATCTCGAACTCAGGCAATCTTCTCGCCTCTGCCTCCCAAAATGCTGGGCTTATAGGCGTGAGCCACTGTGCCTGGCTCTTTTGCCTCCTTTTATTTTTTGTTTTATTTATTTGTTTATTTATTTTGAGTTGGAGTTTCACTCTGTAGCCCAGGCTGGAGTACAGTGGCACACTCACGCCATCCCAGTGTCAACCTGCTGGGCTCCGGTGATTCTTCCACCACAGCCTCCCAAGTAGCCGGAAGTACAGGTGCACACTATCACGCCTGGCTAATTTTTTGATTTATAGTAGAGCCGAGGTTTCGCCAAGTTGCCTGGGCTGGTCTCAAACCCGCTGGCTCAGGCAATCCACTCCCCTCGGCCTCCCAAAGTGCTGGGATTACAGGCCGAGCCACCGAGGCCCGGCCATGCCTCCTTTTAAAATAGACTAAGCTGAGCTGAATGTTATTAGACTGAGTTGAAAAGTTATTAAAACTTCTCTTCTTAATGATCGAGTCCCACTAATATAAATATTGATTATTATCCTGCATTGTAACGCGGGCGTGAGCTATCTTGCAAGGCCAGAATCCTTGCTCTTAACCATGCTTTGCTTTCTTTGAGAGTTAAGCTCTTGAGCTTTGGGGATCTAAGCGAGCAGCAGCTGCGGTTCCCTAATTAAATGACAGTGGAGAGTCCTTTGAAGTGCTCAGGGATCCCAGGTTCGCCTTTAATATCCTGCTGTGAATACAGGCTGCCATTGGCCATTCCAGGAAGGCGTGAGCCCGGAGTGAGAGGCTGGGAGGGGGTTTTCTCTGGTCCCCTTTGTGTCTGGCCAGGCTGCAGGAGCTCTGCCTGCCGCTCCTCTTTGCCCTCGCTGAAGGGCATGGGAAAGACCCGCCTGTCAGCAGGTATAAACTCAATCGTTTCGCCCTCAGCTGGTCTCAAGGACCGCCAGCCAAGTGGATACACAAGGATTAGGCAATCCATGGATCCGGCTTGGCTGATTGGCTTGGGTGTGCCCAAGTGCCTGCAGCTGTCGGAGCAAATCCATGGAGAAACTCGACGCCTACGCCAGCTTGGCTGCCCAAGGCAACTGCAGCTCAGGGACCCCGAGGTCAGCCACTGATTTAAGGTGAGGACCGTCCATTGCAGGTCCAAACGTGGGGGGCCACTTCCCTGGTGTCTGGCTGGGGGCCAGCCCTTCGTCTGCCACATGGCATGTGTCTGTCCTTCAGAGAGACAGGCCGGAAATATCAAGTGGGATCCGGCAGGGTTCGCAGTGCAAGCGATTCCCTGATTCCTCTTATCTCCTCACCTCTTCCCCCGCTCAAGGCTGGTGTCAGGAGAAAGGGCACAGGAAGCACCATTGTTCGGGGAAGCCCTGGGGCCTTTTTCCTCTCCTGAGTCACCCGTCCACAATAGCTGCACTATGTGGCCCTTCTGGTGACTTTCCTAGGTAGAGAGATTGAACAGCCAGATCCAAGGACTGACTGGGTATGGAAATGACTGGGGAGGGGACCGGGCAGGTGCTTGGGGCCGCCTGGGCGAACCCAGTCGGAGAGGCTGTTGTGGGGAGGGTGTTATTGTTTTAGTGGGTGCAGCAAGGGGTGGATCAGCCAGCTGGACTTGGTAAATTGTTATTTACAGTTTCTGAGCCTTTAAAAGAGGAGCTTCCTCAGAATCGGCGCTGATTCCAGACGTGCAGTGCCATGAGGGCCGTGGTGCCTCTGCTGTCCCTGCTCCTCCTGGGTGTCCAGGCCCAACATGGGTCTGATTGGACCTACTCAGGTAAGCCCTCGGCCCCCGCACATTTCCTTGGAGCGAGCAACCCCCTTCCTGAGGACAAGAGTGAAGGCTGGCACTTCTCAGGATAAGTGACCAACCCGATGGGGTCTGCTCTTTGTGACTTCAGATGCCCCCTTTTTGCAATGTCTTGGAGCGTCTGGAGAACAAACAGAACTCAAACTTTGATTCAGGAAAAGAGGAGAAAACTTTCTCCGTTCCCAAACTTGCATCCACTTGCCGGCCTTGTGCTTTAAAATCTTCCCCTACCCACATTGTCGATCGGTTCGAGAGCCTAGTTGCTGCTTCTAATTGTAAAACCTTTTGCTTTATGGGCCAATGTAAGTGACAAAAATAAAGTTCTTTAGAAATATCCCCGTAGATTCTGTCTTGGAAATTTCGTGATATGCGGTTTACCCAAATGTCTCGACTTGATAAGAACCCAGATACCTTTAGATTGACTCTGGCTGCCAAAACCAGACTTTTCCAACGTGAAATGTAAAATCCTGGCATTTGGCCTGGGTTCTGGCCCAAACGTGAGCCAAAGGAAGACCATGCTTATGGGGTTTGTGGAGATGGATCACCCCTCACCCGTGGCAGTGAGGTGAGCTCCTGCCTGTGTCCCCCTTTTCTGTGTTGGGCCATGGATGGGGGCCCAAGAGGAGGTTGGTGGCCACTGGCCGATGCGCTCCTGAGCAAACATGGTATGGCGTCTGCTTTCTACAAAGTCCATCCTGGCCTCAGGCACATGGGGAAGCATACGATCAGGGTGGATGGTGTGTCCTGTTAAGTCAAGGGCAGTGGAATTAGGGACACCCTGGAGAGGCTCAGAAAGTTTAGACAGCTGGAATCAGCTGCTATGCTCTCAGGCAGAGGAATTCCACACCTGCCACTGCCTTGGGAGACTGGGGCTTTGTGCCTCATCGGGCTGGGTGCGGGGGTGACTCGGAGATTAAAGACGAGAGAGAATTCAGACAACAAAGGTCTTGTCATCCCTGGGTTTAGCTCAGGCTCTGAGATGGTAGACTTCCTGGAAAGCCACTGGGGGCCCTGGAGAACTTGGGGGTAGCTTTTGCAAATGCCTTCCAAGAACACCGGAGAGATGTTCCCATACTGACAGGGCCCTGGGACAACCAAAGCATTTTGATCCAAGAAGGCGCTGGGCTAGAGCCTCTTCTTTGACCTTGGCATCCTATCTCTAGGAAAGAATTGTTTAAAAATTGATTTGAATTTTTTCTGTTTTTGAGTCAGAGTCTTACTCTCTGTTGCCCAGGCTGGGGTGCAATGGCCCAATCATGGCTCACTGCAGCCTCGACCTCCTGGATTCAGACGAACCATCTACCTCAGCCTTCTGGAAGCTGGGACTGCAGATATGCGCTCCCAAGCTCATCTAATTTTTTTATTTTTGTAGAGATGAGGTCTCACTACGTTTGCCCAGGCTGGTCTGGAACTCCTGGGCTCAAGCACTCCTCCTGTCTCGGCCTCCCAAAGTGCTGGGATTATAGGCGTGAGCCACTCTGCCTGGCCTGATTTGAATGATTAAATAGTGAAGAGTAGAGGAAGAAAGAATGGACTTTTCTATTGACTGTACACCAAGTAGCTCGGAGAGGCCCTGGTATACACACCTTCCCTAAAACTAGTTGTGTACTCACCACACAGCTACCTGCTGAAGAGGAGACACAGGGATTGTCCTCCATTGCCAGTGGCTGAATCCAAGATCTACAACTGTGTGGAGGTCAAGGCCCCCATCATAATGACTTGCCTTTATTACTCTGTCCCCTGTGATTATTAACCATCGCTGAAAAGATAAACTTCCTTCCTCTGATTAAAAAAAATAATAAAGTGGGCATAGTAGCTCACGCCTGTAATCCCAGCACTTTGGGAGGGAGAGGCAAGGGGATTACCTGAGCCCAGAGGTTTGAGACCAGCCTGGGCAACTTGGCAAGACCTCATCTCTACAATAAATTTTTAAAAATTAGTTGGGTATGGTGGCGCACACCTGTGTTTCCAGTTACTTGGAAGGCTGTGGCGGAAGGATCACCTGAGCACAGAGGTGGAGGCTGCAGTGGCTGTGACCGTGCCACTGCACTCCAGCCTGGGCGAAAGAGTGAGACTCCAACTCCAAAAAAAAAAAAACCACAAAAAACACAAAAACATTCTAGGTTGTCCTTGAACCTGATGCTTCCTTGGTTACCCTGAATCCCTAGGTGTAGACAACCAGGTGGTCTTTACCATGCTGGGAACCCATAAAAGAGGCTGGAGGGCTGGGCATGGTGGCTCACGCCTGTAATCCCACCACTTTGGGAGGCCAAGGCAGGTGGAGTGCTTGAGTCCAGGAGTTCCAGACCAGCCTAGGCAACAGAGCAAGATCTCATCTCTACCAAAGTAAAAAAAAAATTAGCCAGGTCTGGTGGCACACATCTGCAGTCCCAGCTATTCGGGAGGCTGAGGTAGGATTGTCTGAGCCCAGGAGGTCGAGGCTGCGGTGAGCAGTGATCATGCCACTTCACTCTAGCCTGGGTGGCAGAATGAGATCCTGACTTTGAAAAGGGGTAATGGAGGGGCTGGGACAAGAACACTGGTGGGTGGGGGATGGGGGTTGGTGTTCCTGTGGGGAGGAGAGAAAGCCTTCTGCAGCCTCACAAGGCTCCCGCCAGTGCATTTATCATCGGAGATCATTCAAAGGAGAAGAAAAAGCAATATATAAAACACTTTCATTCCTTTCCAAACACTAAGTCACATTCCCCGGGGCCAGTGGTTATCCTGGAAGGTTAGAAGTTAGTACCGAGCACCCGAGTCCTTGGAGTTGACCTAGATGTCCCTTCAGACTCCCCCCGAGGCCTTGCCTCTGCTTTCTGAAAGGCACCCCCATGGTCCCCACCTGGCAGGCCCTGGCCTCTGGCCTCATGGCTTGAGGGGCGGGGTGCCTATAGAGGGGCTCAGCCGGGCAACCCCTTGAACTGCGACCTGCTCTCTCCTGTCTCAGAGGGGGCCCTGGATGAAGATCACTGGCCGCAGCACTACCCGGCCTGCGGGGGGCAGAAGCAGTCACCCATCGACCTGCAGAGGCGGAAGGTGAGGTACAACCCTGCCCTGAGGAGGCTCAACCTGACAGGCTACGAGACCCAGGCGGGCGAGTTTCCCATGACCAACAACGGCCACACAGGTAAGGTGGACGACAGTCTCCCATCCCCGGGGAAGCCCCTGGCGGTCTGCAGGGGAAGGCAGGTGACACGCACACCTGCCAGGTGTCACACGACCCAGATACCCAGAGTGCAGCCTCAGAGCTGGAGGCTCAGATGTGAGGGTTGACAGATGCCGAGGGCTGAAAACCTGAGGGCTCTTCCAAAGTAGGGTAGTGTCTGTGTTCAGACTCAGTTTCCTGTTGCCTCCTCCCTCCCACATTATCTCCACCCAAGCTCACTCCGACCCACTCAGCATGCAACAAGCAGGACAGGCAATGCTGTGCAGCCATCCTTCCCACCTGCACTGTCCATCACGCCTTCTTGGTCTGTTTTTCCATATATATATATTTTTTGAGTTGGAGTCTCACTCCGTCGCCCAGACTGGAGTGCAGCGGCCGCTCCCGGCCACCGCAGCCTCGACCCGCTGGGCTCCGGCGATCCTTCCGCCTCAGCCTTCCGAGTAGCTGGAACTACAGGCGCGTGCTACCACACCTGCCTAATTTTTTGATTTTTTGTAGAGATGAGGTCTCGCCAAGTTGCCTAGGTGGGTCTCGAACCTGCGGGCTCAGGCAGTCCACTCACCTCAGCCTCCCAAAGGCGCGGGATTACAGGCTGAGCCACCGAACCCGGCTCCATATTTTCTATATTGAGTCTGATTAGCTCAAGGCACCGGACAGGTAGGCCCACTATTTCTCAGAGGTTTGAAAGGGAAGCGCTAGGCCGGACACAGTGGCTCGTGCCAGTAATCCCAGTACTTTAGGAGGCTGAGGCAGGAGGACCGCTTCAGCCCTGGAGTTCGAGGCTGCGGTGAGCCATGATCATACCACTGCACGACATTTTGGGCGACAAACTGAGACTCTGTCTAAAAATTTGAAAATAATTTCTGTTCCCTGCTGGAAAGGGGTCGAAGGTCAGACAAGCTGGGGCGTGGAAACCCCCATGTCAGGAGTCCATTCTGGGCAACTGTAAAACCTGTACTTGGCTTTTGCAGAGTGTCTTTCCAAGTGGGTGTGTTCCCTCTGAGCCTCATGACAACCTCAGGAGGGGCTACTTTTTAGGCAGAAAACCTGAGACCTCAAGGTCACATAGACTCTAATGGCCGAGCTAGACCTCTGCCCCCAGGGGTCTTGTTCCTTGTTGCTCTCTGGCTCCTACCTGGGTTGAATCCGTTTACTGGTGTGTGGAAGTGCCTGGACTTAGTTTTCCAATTTGCACAATCAAGAAAATAAAACCAACTGCCCTTGATGGGACTGTTGAAAGTAGCAAACAGAGTCGGGCATGGTGGCTCACACCTGTAATCCCAGCACTTTGGGAGGCGGAGGCAAGAGGATTGCCTGAGTCCAGGGGTGCGAGGCCAACCTGGGCAACTTGGCAAGACCTCACTTCTGCAATGAGTTTTTAAAAAGTTAGCCAGGCATGGTGGTGTGTGCCTGTGTTTCCAGCTACTTGGAAGGCTGAGGTGGAAGAATCACCTGAACCCAGCAGGCTGAGACTGTGGTGACGGGACAGCAGTGAGACTCCAACTCAAAAAAAAAAAAAAAAAGACAACACCTTTGGGTTCCTCCCCACCACCAGGAGTTTTTCTATCCTCTAAAAAATTCCTACTTACCAAAACAAACAAAAAAAGAAAGTAGTAAACAGGAGAAAGAGATCGTATCAGTCAAAGAACTCAGGTGTACATGGCCAGGAGTGGTGAAATACACAAGTCATGAACACAAGTCTCGTTTTCATCATGGATGTTGGGTTCCTGTTTCTAGAATTCAGAACTTTTCCTGCCCTCCTTGTCCTTGGTGGAGCAGGGGTGAAGCTTTGCTAACCCCACCCGGGCAGTTGGCCAGCCAGCGGTAGCAGATGACTGAGGTCTCTATCTCTACTGGCCATCACCAGCTGTGTGCCTGCTACATGCTGGGCTGTGCTCTGGGGAAGGAGAAAGGTGGAGGAAGGAGCCCAACTTCCCAGGGAGCCTGCAATGGCTTCTTTCTTCCAGTTTCCAGAGGACCCTGTGCCTCCCTCTGAGGTCATGCTCAGATTTTCGTGGGGCGGAGGACTATGCCTTTGGGGTCCCTACCTCACGTGACAGCATGTCAACTATTAGGATGCACCCAAAGTTTGCATTGATTATAAATCTTTTGATGTAAAGTATTTTGAAAGATCTTATTTTGAACGTATTGTTAAAGATAATGGCAACTGGCCATTTTTCCGCGAGCTCTAAGGACATTCAGGAATTCTACTGAAGGTGAGGAAAAAAAAAAGAATCTAGGAACTTCAAAGCTAATGAAAGCTTAACAATGAAGTTAACATGACCCAATTAAAGATTTGTTAATTCTGATTTTGCAGGATTAAAAAAATTTTTTGTTGTTGAGACAGGGTCTTGCTGTGCTGTCCAGGCTGATTTTGAACTCCTGGCTTCCAAGTAGCTGGAACTACAGGCGCGCGCTACCACGCCCAGCTAATTTTTGATTTTATTGTAGAGATGAGGTCTTGCCAAGTTGCCCAGGTGGGTCTCGAACCCGTGGGTTCACATAATCTACTCACCCCAGCCCCCCAAAGCACGGGATTACAGGCTGAGCCACCGAGCCCGGCCTACCGCAGCCTAAATCTCCTAGGTTCAAGTGGTCCTCCCAGTTCAGCCTCCCCAGTAGACGGGACTACAGGTACACACTACCCACGCCCAACTAATTTTTTCATTTTTTATTTTTTTTTATAGAGACGAGGTCTCACTATGTGGTTCAGTCTGGTCTTGAACTCCTGAGCTCAAGCAATCCTCTTGCTGTGACTGGCTTAGAGTTCTTTTTACATATTGGAACATATATATTATTATAATGTATTATTACATGTTTTGGTAAACTTTATTTTTTAGAACTCAGAAGAAAGCACAGAGAATCCCTTTCCCCTGCTGCCCTCTCCCCAGTCTTCCCCGCCATCACCATCCTGCACCAGAGTGTACATTTGTTATGATGAATTTGGTTTTCCAAAATGCATTTCATAGGCCCCAGGAAAGCTTAAATGCCTGAGGCAACCACCTCTAGTGTTTAGTGGGGAAAAAACCCACACCATTTCTTTCTTTTTTTTTTTTTTTGAGTCGGAGTCTCACTCTGTCACCCAGACTGGAGTGCAGTGGCTGCTCCCGGCCACCGCGCCTCGACCTGTGGGCTCCGGCGATCCCTCCGCCTCAGCCTTCCGAGTAGCCGGAATTACAGGCATGCGCTACCACGCCCGGCTGATTTTTTGATTTATTGTAGAGATGAGGTCTCACTGCCCAGACGGGACTCGAACCCTCAGGCTGGGCAATCTACTCATCTCAGTCTCCCAAAGGCGCGGGATTACAGGCTGAGCCACCGAGCCCGGCACACCATTTCTTAACACACACTATTAGCTGCTCTCCATTTATTCAGTTCCTTGAAAATAGGGACCACTGCTTCTTCTTCTTTCTATCACAGCACCTGCCATGGAGCCTGACACAGAGCAGATTAAAAAACGTTCGCTGACTGGCACATTTGAGGAGGAAAGGATAAATCCCCAAAAAGGCACCCATGAGTCATGCAGAATTCTGAGCTGGCTTTGATTTGTGAAGGCTGCGGGGGAGGAGGCTGGTAGTGTCTTTTAAGAAAAAAGACAAAGTTTATTTTGAAATAATTTTCCACCAGAAAAATTACAAAAGTAGTACAGAGAATTCCCCTGTACCCTCTCTCCATTGCCTAATACTAACATCTTATAACCCTAGTACAATTATTATCAAACTAGGGAGTTAAAATGATACAACATGGGGGACTCTGTTTTTTTGTGATGCAGGACTGAATCCAGGATCCCATGTTATGCTTAGCCATTGTGTCTCTTTGGTCTCCTCCAGTCTTGGTCAGTTCCTCAGTCTTCCTTTGACTCTCACGATCTTGACACTTTGCCGAGTACAGCAAATGCTTAGATTATGTGGTTTTTCTCGTATGATGAGAAATCGGTTATTTTGGTTTCCCATGAAGGGGAGCAACCTCTTCTGGAAGTTGAGTCCATTTTCAGATCTGGACCTTTCAGCCAGTTGACTTTTGGGGGACAGAAATTTTGACCTCACCTTTTTTTTTAGAGACAAGTTCTCACCAAGTTGCCCTGGCTGGTCTCAAACCCCTGGGCTCAGGCAATCCTCTTGCCTCCGCCTCCCAAAGTGCTGGGATGACAGGCATGAGCCACCATTCCCGGCTTGATCTCACCTTTCAAAAGCACAGCAACAAGCTCAGAATTGCTACTCTTTTCCAGTCTGGCCTGTGGGGGGCCTGTCCCTGTAACAGAAATTGACACATTCTGTCTCCCGGGACTTGTGCTTTGGGGACATGTAATTGTCAGGATCTCAGATTGTGCCTGGAGTGCTAACTGGTCACTGAGGAAGCTCACCTCTGGGTCTCGACTCCCATCAGCTCTTGGCCCAGCTGACTGCACAGTCTCCTTTAAGGCTCTGCTGTCCTTTTCTTGCAGGCATTGACTTTTGAGGCCAGTCACTTCTCAGACTCTAAACACGAAGCACTTATTCCGCCAAAAGGCCTGTTAAAATCGTTGAGGCCAGATTCCTGCATTACAGCACGTTACATCACATTACATTGTGAATTTGATGGTGGCTCCTTTAGACGATTTGGAAAGGAGGAAGGGGGCATCTGATGGGCGTCAAATACTCACCTTTGTTCTTTATGAAAACTTACTTGTTTATAGCCATCTTTGATGACTTTATTTTTGTTTTGTTTTTTTTTTTGAGTTGGAGTCTCACTCGGTCGCCCAGACTGGAGTGCAGTGGCCGCTCCCGGCCACCACAGCCTTGACCTGCTGGGCTCCAGCGATCCTTCTGCCTCAGCCTTCCGAGTAGCCGGAATTATAGGCATGCGCTACCACGCCCGGCTGATTTTTTGATTTATTGTAGAGATGAGGTCTCGCTGCCCAGGCAGGTCTCGAACCCGCGGGCTCAGGCAATCCACTCACCTCAGCCTCCCAAAGGCGCGGGATGACAGGCTGAGCCACCGAGCCCGGCTGATGACTTTATTTACTTTTTTAGAGACCATGCCAGAGTTCAGTGGTGTGATCAAAGCTCACTGCAGCCTCAAGCTCCTGGGCTCAAGCATTCCTCCTGCCTCAGCCTCTCCAGTAGCTGGGGCTACAGGAATATACCACCACAACGGGATAATTTCTTTATTTTTTGTAGAGCTCAGAAATTCGAGACCCAAGCTGGGTCTCGAATTTCTGAGCTCTATAAAAAATAAAAAAAATTAGTATGAGCTCTGAGCTCTACAAAAAAAAAAAAAAAAAAA